CCTTACTACAGTGCTTAAAGGACTTTTATGTATGAATTTATGCCAGACCCTTTATTTGGAAAGAAACATTAGTGTTAGATAACCTTAACTAATAAGAATGTATTAGTAAGAACTATTTTCCTGTGTTGTACTTTGACAATGACAATACTAATATATAACCTAGACCTTCAGTATATATATATATATATATATATATATATATATATATATATATATAGTTATTCGATAAAAATTCTCGCTAATGGATGACACTTTGGCTCCCTTAAATTCTATTATTTTAAGATGTCAATAAAATAGAACTACATTGGAAGGTAGATAGCAAACACAAGGGCGGTGAAGCGGTCTGTAATAGAGTCAACATAACCTTTAAGTACTCGAAATATAGAGTTAAGTATTTTTAGAATAGATTTTTAGTTAATTTTTATTTGTATTATAAACTAGTTATTATTCGTATGTATTTTATGGACTATTTAGTCTATAGAAACTATAAATGATTCTCAATTTGTATGTATTTATTTTAGGCTATTATTAGTAACTAATAAAGCTAAAAATAATTTGAACGTGCTATTCTCTGGAACTATTTGTCTGATTTAATCAAATCTTCTTATATTTGTTATACAAATATATTGAAGAATTTTTAAAACTACGATCTAACAAACTACATTCGTAATATACTAAGAGGACTAAGCCGCAATATGAATAATAGTAATTTAAACACTTGCTTCCCTTTCAATTATATATATATATATATATATATATATATATATATATATATATATATATATATATATATATGTGTGTGTGTGTGTGTATATACATGTTTAACAGTTAAAACTTTAACATTCCGTATGTTTTATAATAATTATCACAAGCATAATGTAACAGCCAAATTACTTAAATATTAATGCTAATTAGTTTAAATATTTTTTAAATACAATTTTAAAAGTATAACAAATTTTATACATCGCTATAAAAAGTTAGTGTTATGAATAAAAAACATTCATTTTGAATTTAATTCGTTTGAAGTATCTGTAAAAGATCATATCTAAATATTTATAGATCTATAGCACTTTACTACAGTGAATAAATAGGTAAATGTGTTTATACAGAGTTTCCCAGAGACGGTGGTCTGTTGACTTCGTCACACTAATTTGTATTTTAAGTTTTCGAACACCACCTTACGCATTCTTTGTTTTCCTAAAATTTATTTAGAAAGTCCTAAATATTTCGATTTTTTTTATTAAAAATGGTAAGATTCAATTTTACACTTTACATAAAAACTTAAAAAAATAGTAAAAAGTAAATAATAACTGATTGAAAGTTTTATTTACTATATATACCTAACCATATATTTTCTAAGAAACTACTAAATTCTATTATTTTTTTTATGTTGAGGGTGATTTGTGATGCTGTGCGGTATCCTCGGTTATAAAAAAATCTTCGAATCGGAAAAATAATGACTTTGTAAAATAAATAAAAAAAAAATCTGTAATCCTAGAAATCTTTTAAAACTAAATCCTGGTAACATTTTATCTTGCGCCATTTAATAGATTGCGCCATAAATATGAAAAAGGATTTACAGTTGATCAAGATACCGTTACATGCTCGTATGTACAAATATACAAAAACGAGCAATCGAATTGACTACCATCTTGTTCACCATGCCTACCATAAGTGGATTACCAGACATCATGTCTTACAAAAGCTAGATAAGTTTTTTTAGAACGCATACAGATTTTCTTATAGATTTTTAATAGTTCCTACACCATATAAAAAATAATTTAAAAAATACTTACATTAAAACACTTTTAACATAACATTCCTTAAAACTAACAACAAACTCCTCAAAAGTGAGTTGATCATAAAGACAGTTTTTCTTCTTCCAGACAGACTTTCTACTGAGTCTGATTTCGTATTTTTTCTAAATCACTCGAAGCATATTTATAATAAAATTTCAACGCAGTCGAATCTGTACATTAAATGTTATTTTAATTTTTTTATTGAAATAGTCATTATTGTCGATCCAGAGGCCGAATTTAAGTTATAAAAAAATTTGTCTGTCTGTCTGGGAATGTTTATTATCACTGAACAGATTTTGATAAAATTTGGTGCGATGATATCTAGTTATCCGGGTCAATATATAGGATACTTTTTACTGCAGGAAAATATCTCATCTCTGATAAATCTATATTAAACGTTAAAACAAAACTAGGGACGAACTCGACTGGATCGAGGATGAGTCGCTAGTATGATATAAGTCCTTTCATTTCATCTGTCGTTAAAAACTGTCACGTGGAGTCATTACGTCAGCTATAAAGAGTTTTCATTTGAAAGGTGTTCTCCCCTCGATGTCAGTGTACTGCAATAGTTGGCATTTGATAAGGCTTCATTAATTAGAGGGTCTTAATAAGAAGTAGGGAAAATGTAGGAGAAACCAGGAAATGAGAGGTCAACACCCCAGTAGAAGCACACGGAGGTTTTTTTCTAAATGTAACTTTTTAGCTTTTACGAGCTTTCGCTGTTGCTATTAGAATTCTAAAATCTAAACTTGAAGGAAATAGATTTTTTTTTGAAAATATCAGTGACCTGATTTCTTTTAGATGATTTGTTTGTATGAATATAATTTGTATATGTCATACATACAAATCTTCTCGTAATAATTTTCTAAATTATCGTGAAAACCATATCAAAATCGGTTGCATAATTTACGAAATAGCTTACAGGACAACCTCAATATGAATTAAGAGTGTTCTTAAGGTACACTTATTGGAAAATTTGGTCATAGTGTTGGTAAATATACTAAATTTCATCTAAATCCAAGCGTTTTTAACGTGAAGGAGAAACAAACGCAACACAAACACATATACTAAGGAGAACTTATCTTACAATATGAAATAACCAATTCTTGTACATATAAGCATATATTTATTTCGTGTATCTCAAAAACGGCTCAAGCGATTTGGATTAAATTTTGTATTTAGATAACGTTTTGCTTTTTAAGTTTATCTATATGTCTTTGAATACACATACATTTTTTAATAAGTAATTATTATTAGAGCCTTTTTTCTGAACAAGCCTAGCAAGCCAAATTTTTAAAGTATATTTTATCTTATATATGAGTCTCGTATCGAGATGAATGCTATGAATAATCCTTTAATGAAGCCTGAAGGAAGATAATGGAAATTTTTAATAGTAGTACCTTTTATAAAGATATTAAGAGAGAGAGAGAGAGTACAAAATATGATTGTGGTTCGTAAAAATAGTGAATACTTGTGTTTATTTTTATTATTGAATATTTTATTTTCAATTAAAATGTCTATTTAAATTAAACGTTTTTTCAAAATACTAATGTTTGAGTCATATACTATCAAAATTTGAATCAAAAGTAATACTAAGCTTTAATCTAAAAAATGAAAAGCAACGAAAATATCACCATCTTTTCAAATATAATATATAGATAAAAAATTAACGTTAACATGTTATTTTTTTTTATTAATAAACACAAAATATTTGTTACTATAGTTAAGCACCCGTAAACTAAATTATGGTCGCAACGACCATCTATTGATATGATGGTTGCGGTCACAGTGGTCATTTTAGAAGGTATTGTACGCGCGACAATAATTTTAGTCTTGGTCACCCAGGACAAATGTGAGGTTGATCAAATACTGATAAACTTATCATTTCCTATCAACTAAGTAATTCTATGAACCTGTAACATCTGACGTAGAGACTGATACGGTCTAACCACTGAACTAAATGGTTACCAATATATCCCACATCTTTATTACACATATAATATTTAAGTTAAAATTTGTTAGTTCAAGTATAAAGTAATAAAATAAATTGTGTTACAATTTACACCCCTGAAATAAATATATACGTCCTGTGGGTTTCCAAGACGCCGGCTAACTTGTATGGAAGAAGCTTTTTATTAAAATAATATAATATAATAAATAATGTTTAAAAAAATGACTGTAGTGCCTGTGAAAATTTTTTAATCATACAATCTTTTGCTCGATTCACTCGAGTAAAAAAGAACGTGAATATATTTTTATATTCCAGATTATTTTATATGGGAATCGATTGAAGGTTATAGAAGTTGATGCACTGAATCGCCATATAGATATAAAACACAGACTACTAGCACAGTTACAGCAAAATCTTCTTCTCTCTGCCCATTTCCCAATCACTTGGGGTCGGCGCAGTACATCTTCTGTACTGTTGATGTGATGTGATTAAAGTTACAGCAAAATATAAAGCACAAAATCTTTTCCACGTAAAAATATTAATAAGTGTGTTAAAATTTCAATTGGTGAAGAATTTTGGGAGCTTTGCGGCTTAGCACAAATAATTGTTTGTATTTTTATTTATATTATAGGTGCTTGCTATATTTGAGCACTGATATTATCTTACTAATATAATAAATGTTAAAGTTTAGATGGATGTTTGGATGTTTGTTACTCAATCACGCCCGAACAGCTGAACGCATCTGGATGCTACTTTTTATCTCAAAAAAATGTTCCCGTAGGATAGATTCGTTTTTGTTCTTGCAGTTATATAATAAAAGAGTAAAATCATCTTCAATTATTGAAATTACGTACTAGAGTGAGTATAGACAATAGAATATTCTGTATATGCTATTTGTACATTTCTGCAGTCTTCTGCAGTGCATGACTAGTTTAGTGAGATCGACTGTCACTTTAACACTGTCAGAAGTGTGTGATTTTTACTATTTATTATTATTATGTTAAAAAATTTAGTATATAAAAGATGTTTAATATTTTTAGTTCTGTATTAAGTATAAAACATTTTAATTAAATGTTTGTGTGTTTGTCTATGCGTTTAAATGCACTTATTGTGTATAATTTTTGCTAATGTTAACACTTATTAAAAAAATATTATTGTATAACCATTCAATAATGTAGGTATGAAGAACAAATTATTAAGAAGCTCACTCCATACTAATATACCGTTTACATCGCGTGAGCACGAAGTTATGGCTTCGTACGATCTGCTTCGTGACACTTTTTATCAGAAACTACAATACCGACATGTCTTTTTAATAATCTACAATGTTAAATAAAATTTTATAATATTATACTAAAATATTCCTCTATCAATATGACACTCTAGTTTTAGTCTAACTTTATTACGTATTTTTATTTTTTACCAATACTTAGTTTCTTTTAGTTTTTGCCAGGATTAGAATTTACATACATATACATATATATATATATACGTGTATAATATACATTCGTTTAAAAAAATCATGATCATACATAGTAATAAACTTTAATAATATTATAATATTTTCATAAATTATCTATACACATAAAAAGAGGTCTGTTAGTAATGTCAAGACACAGCTTTTTCTTAATGCATATAAAATTATAAACGTACTTTCATTGAAAGATAGCTGGTATTATAAAGAGAAACTGGGGCTATTTTTTTCTAGAAAAAGAATTAGGGTTCCGCTCAAAAAGATTGAAACGTACTCAAGGACGCACCCGAGCGAAACGAGGATTAGTCGCTAGTTGATTACATGAAAATAGGATTTATATGTAGATACAATTTTAAAATATTTTTTTATTTGATTCTATAAGTTGTCATTCTGATATAAAATACTTATTTGAGTTTTCTTGAGTTGTCATATTGAGTGGGAAAAGTGCGGGAAAAGCGTGGTGTTTTGTTTTATGATTTAATGAAATTCGTCATTCATTTCCGTAATGTTGGTGGAAGCGTCACTCTGACTCTGTACAAAATAATAAAAACTGTGTTCATTTCATCTAATTTTACTTGGCAAGCAAAATTCTGCAATCAAAAAAAGGAAAATGCTTGCAATTTTTTCCAATAATATTAGTAATAGCAATTTTATCAAATGCAATGTGTTGGACTTGTTTTACTGCTAGCGTATAGATGGTTACAGCAATTAAAGATTTTTACTTGAAATTAGCTTGATCGTATCGAATTGTTGTATTGCAACATCATCGATACCTAGAATTACAATCAAATTAACATTGACTTCCAAGGTTTGATTATTTATAATGTTTATTACACCATTTTAAATAAAACATCTCTCCTCCTCCTCACTTCCTGCTTAGCTTTGCTCTTCTCTGCTGTGTTCTGCTCTGCTCTACTTTGTTATGCTCTGATCTGCTTTTCCCTGTCCTGCTCAGCCATGCTCCACTCCGTTCCGTTCCGGTCCGCTCTGTTCTGTCCTGTTCTCTCACTTCTGTCATGTCCTGTTCTGTTCTATTGTATTTTTGTTTTTTTTTATAATTTCACTACAGAATTGCCTAGCGATTTACAATAAATACCTACAAAAAATCAGCAATATAGCTTGAGCTACTCATTTTACTCGACGACTGCTTAAACACTCTTCGAGTAAAAATATGTAATTGTGACGAACAGCCTGACAGCTTAACGTGATCTCCGAGGCAGCGAGGTGTAAACACTGCCAACTTCCCAATTCCACACTGCTACTCAATATTTCGTGACAAAAACAGTTACAAGTTCGCTCGATCCAGGACTCGAACCTAGAAACTCTCAATCTTCAGCCGCCACATGCTCGCACTAGATCTAAATTTTGTTATTATTATTATGTTTACAATTTCAACCATAAAACTCCACCATATTTCTTTTTAAATACCAAATTAATTTATGGGCAAGTGTTTATCGTTGGAACACTTTAAACTCGAAAAGGAAATTAGCAAAAATAATTAAAAAACAACTGTGTAACGCCAAGAAATACCTCTGCGTCGCATAAATTTTTGTTTAAATCAAGATAAAATCCTGATGGAGATTAAATAAATAATTACCAATTAAACTGGACCGATTGTGATCAAACAACGCGGAATAATCAATTCCATTTTTTAAATAATTTATCAACTTGTGATTACCATCGGACTAAAGTGCATACATAATTTAGTATATAGAGTACAAGTTCGATATGAACTTAGACTGATTTTATCATCAGATCTTGTGTAGGTCCCTTTATTTTAATTAGTGTTCGTCCAGTGGTCGAAATTCGATAATATTTAATGAATTAATATAGAAAACTTTTAAAAACCATATAAATTTAATTTACTTATCTATATAAAAAGATAATTGTTTCAATTTTTTTTTAAATAACATAAAGCTCACCAGTAGCTACTAAACAAAAAAAAGGAAAATCGATTAACAGACAGAGAAAAAGGTACTGAACTGTTTTGTCTTTGCATATTTACATATACCTACATATATATATTCATAAATAGCTCAAGAGATGTCCCATATACATTTTTACCTATATAAAGGAAAGTAAATACATACCTTTAGTCAAGTAAAGTATAATACTTTCTTAGATTTACGCGAATATTTGACATTTTAAATAAAACTATCTTTTCGGATTTTGTCGCGGATTTAAATCCGCGACAAAATCCGAAAAGATAGTTTTATTTAAATTGTCAAGTAAAGTAATTATTATGATAACATCAACTGTTTAATTACAAACATGGTAGTAGGCTAAAAAATATTTTAAAAGTAAAGATAACAATCCCTTCTAGCTCTATAAGAAAAAATAATATCTATAATCGATATCGCTAATAGAAAAGTAAATAAAAAATAACAAAAATGTTCAATTCGATTCTTTTCTTAATAGCTTCAAAGCGTGCCATTTGAGTACAGATCACTTCGCCAATGTCACGCAAAAAGGAGTAGGCGCGATATATATACATATATGTATAACTATATATAGACCAACTGCGCTAAATATGTTGCACAAATGCGTGGTTGCGCAGACAGAAGTGCAGTCTCTATTCATATAACTCACTAGCGACTCACCCTTGCTTCGCTCGGGTTCGTCCCTACCTTGGTTCCCAATACAAACTTTCATCGCCATTTTCACCCCCTTAAGGGATGATTTCCGGGATAAAAAGTTTTTTATGTCCTTCCCAGGGTCTCAAACTATCTTCTTACCAAATTTCATTTAAATCGGTTCAGTAAATCCAGAGACTGTCTTCTTCTACAATGTCGCAAGCTCACAATTCACAAACTCACCAACTTTACCTCTTTATAATATTAGTATAGATATATGATAACGACCAATTCTGACCACGTGACAAAACGCTTTCTATTTTTCTATTTATCTATGGCGATTGTAGAATCATGTTGTTGCTCTAAAGCGAAATGTATTTACTTATCTATTAGATATGATCCACGATCGATGTAATGTTGATTACAGACTATAAACTATCTACTGTGTAGACCTCCCACGAATGACAAACTGGTGTAAGTTGTTTAATGAAAATTATAAACTAGGGTTTACATACGGTTTCGTAACTGTTAGTTAGCCTTAAGTTTTTCTAGGCGATTACAGTTTTTCTAGGAGGTACAGTGTATGAAAAAGTAATTTTTTGAGAAAAAAAAACTTTTTTAATCCAGATTTTAAGGTGTCATATATTTATTTATATAATCATTCTAACTATTATTTTGATTTCAAAATCAGTTATTTTAAAAGAAATTATTTTAATATGTACAATTCCCGTGGGATAGATTTGTTTTTGTTTTTCTAGAGGCGAACCCGAGCAAAGAGAGGGTGAGGTGCTAGTATATCCATAAATAGGTAAAAAAATCCAGTACATTTTCTCCTCTGTCAAGCGATTTTTTTTCTTTAGTACCTATTGATAAGCTTTAGTGTTGTCAATAAAAATAATAATCATGGTCAAATTTCGACCACTGGACGAACACCAGTTAATATGAAAAAAAAATATACGTGTCGAATTGAGAAACTCCTTTTTTTCGTCGGTTAATAAGTAAATTATAAGAATTATCATCAAAGCTTTAAAATTAGAAGCTTACGCATTGCTAGTCACAGCGTAGAGGGCGGGTCGGTAGTAAAACTTTATATCTAAAGTAATTTGTTTTATTATATAGATTGTATGTTAAAAAGGTAATTATTACATGTTTTCTCTTGTGTGGTCCTTTTTAACTACTTGTTTTTAGCATATATCTAAATATATATTAAAATAGTACCGTCACGTTTGTATACTGAATATTATTTCAAATTAAATTAATAATAGAAGAGCAATTTCTTTTTTGTCATGTTAAAGTAACAGATTTGCTTATATTGACCTAGTAGACCCAACAGATGTTGTCGTATGCATTTGTCTAACACAAATCGATGTTTATCATTACACGTTTTTATTTAGTTTCACCTGTCGCGGTGTGTGTAATGGAATATTGCAAGTTAAATTTGACTCACTTCCCAGTGTCTGATTGAGCTGAAATTTTTCACACTAGTTTATTTCCCTACACAATGCACAATACTAAATGCCGCCATTTTTAATACAATATGGCAGACGTTACAAAATGTCGATTAATTTTCATAGTGACCCTGATATGGGCATCAAATGAAAGGACCTGATGAATAAAATAAAAACTAATATAATAAAATATAAATAAAATAAAAACAGAGAAATAACAAATAAAATAAAACACAAAATATTTTTAAAAACAAGCTTTTATTTAAATTCTCTAAAAAGAAGAAAATAAACCTTAAAATTAAATAAAAGTTAATTTAATTTTAATTGCTAATTTATATTTAAATAAAAGCTTGTTTTTAAAAATGTTTTTTTATTAATGATTTATTTATCTATTAATAATTACACAGTACTGAAAAATAAGAAGCTTTTTCTTCTTTATTTTACAAATATTTCTTTTAGAAATAGACTGCAATACCTTGTCAGAATGCACATTTTCAATATGTAAATATTTGCCATAGTGTTTGCCATACTTTTAGTTAGGTACTTTAGGTAGATTATTTATATGGACTATACCACTGATGTTGCAAATTTATGAATTATTTATAAGTTTGGAATAATCGGAACACTATAAATATTATAAATGTGAGTGTTTGCATATATTTGTTACTCCTATACGCTCAAATGGCTGGACTGATTTGGATAAAACTAAGTGCACAAATAAATTATCACCTGGACTAAAATATAGTATACTAAGGCACCTAGAGACGTACACGAGCAAAGCGAAAATAAGTTGCCAGTTTTTATTAGATTTGGAAAAATTATCTATACAGGTAAATAAAATTGAAGTGTCTGTTTGTAATGTCAAAATAACAGCTTTGTACTAAATGTATATGGAATTATATACAGTATTTATAAGAAAAACACAATTTTTAAAAATTTTGTCTGTCTGTCTGTTTGCTCCGGCTAATCTCTGAATCGGCTGGGCCGCTTTTGACGGGATTTTCACTGGCAGAAAGTGAATGTTATAAGGAGTAACTTAGGCTACTTTTATTTTAGAAAAAGAATTATGGTTTCGCTCAAAAAAAATGTAAAGGGTGAGTCGCTAGTTTAAAGTCAATTAATATTTTTAAGCAATTTCAAGAACAAATGTTAAAAGTTTGAGGAAACAAATGAAGTCGCTTAAGTTAACTTGCGCCCGCGCAGCTACTAACTAAAATAAGAATGTATCATGTAGTTACCGTCTGAACGTTTGATAATTCAACCGATGTATCGATATAACGAAAAAAAGACATGATACAAATTTCATACGCTTTTCTTAACGGATACCATTACCAAATTATCGATTCCATTCAATATTCAAAGACTATGTTTTATTTTAATTCGTATAAAGATTATATTGGCGCGTACTTCGAATTTCGATGTAAAATACAAATTTGTACACCATTAAACCTTTTATTTGAAATTTAATTGTGCAGAATTGTACCTTACACGTTTTGATCGCTAGCAACAAACATTCATTTTCGTTTATTTAGCTCAAAAATGAATTTTATTCGATGGAAATAAGAGTAAAATTGCATTGGGCCGAACGTATCAAGAAATTTGTCAGTCATTTACGTATTTATTTTATACATAAGTGATAATTGGCCTGGCCGAGCTTTTTTCAATGCAAAATAAGCTCTATATCATTGTTAATAAGGATACGTATGTGTGTTTAGCCCTAATTATATATCCTTGTTTGAAGTTTATGAGGTGAAGAATTTTAAATAAAAGATGCGATCTTGTTACAGATCTTGACAGGGGTGGGTGACCGGTTGACATTTTTAATAATAAAATTGTGCCTTTAAATAGAATTTTTACTAACATCATAAATAAGACGATTTGTTTGTCTGTCTACGATTGGTCATTTATCTATACTTATATTTATGAGTTGGATTAATTTCTAGTTGGATCTTACGTAGGATAAATATATAAATATTATTATATTGATATATTATAAA